AGCAGGAACATGATATAACCCACTCCTAAAGTAAGAACAATCTTATGTGACAAACTTGTTGTCAATGGGGATTCCAGAAAAAAAAATATAGTTTTGCACTGAAGTTCATGAAACTGAAGTTGTTGGGCTGTCATCCATCAGTTGTCCTTATTGCCAAGATAATTTTCACTTTAAGATTTCATTTTGAAGAGATCAAAGGCCATTATTTTCAGCTAGAAATTACTTTTCTTAGTGTTGGAAGTGTGTATTTTGTAAGAATGAGATGTACAGTAGTGAAGATCATACAACCATCTTTGATAAGACTTCTGTCCTCTAAGTTATCTTCAGCTATAAAGCTGGGTTTTGATATGGCAAGTATGATGTGCAAGCTGTTTGCGAGATATCTCAGATCTTCCTATCGGCTCCATCGTTGCGTTCTGTATCTACCTACCATAGTTAGTGGTATAGATCTTGTCTCTTACGGCGTCTGCATCATGCTTTCTGACCCTGCTAATGCAGACATAACCACCAAACCAATTTTTGCCGCCTTCTGTAATGCCCCCCGGGTGTCATGTTGTGCGAAAGAAATGAGGTGTGATCAAATTGAGCATTAGTCAGCAGTGTGTGCTTGTGGCAGTGAAAAGTAACCGTGTAGTGGCCTGCATCATCAGGACCATAGCTCACAGGCAAAGGGAAAGGATTATTGCTATTACTGTTATTACTCAACAACACTTACCAGTGATGGGAAGAGGCGAATGAGATCAAGGAAACATCAAATAGCTGAGATCACACTCTGATCTGTGGTTTCAACACAATACTTGTTGTGTCTAAAATAGTGTGGTCATTGTAAAAAGTCTGTCTCTTATCCGTGTCCTATATGGCACTATGTGTTACAGGAACATAATCAGTAAATGGGGATGAAATAAAATCCCTAACTTCTGGAATCTTGCAGAATTACAGGAAAGAAAAGGCATTAGTGTTTATAAGAAGCTACGTATGATACAAGGGCATTTGATAGTAAAAAGCGACAGAAGAGAAGCATTTCAAAATGAAAAAGTAACGGTAGAAGCAGAGAACATAAAATGATAGTAAAAACAAGTGAATATTGTTCTGTTGCTGCCTATTCACTATCCCTGACCTGAAAGGGTAAGAAAATACGACTTTGGCCATAGACGTTAATATGAGCTGACTTGAATGCTGATGACTGAGTCACTGGGTCAGTGGCAGTGCTGACAGTGCTCTTCTGTGGGGAAAAAAAATGGTGTTTAATGTGTCTGTTGTAGTTCAAGACATCAAGGACCTGCCATTCTAGAAGCTGTTACACTGTGAGGCTATTAAATCACTGTCATCCAGCACTGTGTAGTGCAGAGATGCCTTCAATGTAAGTTAGAGATTGCACTGTCAAAGCAACTTTGTATGAAAACCTCTGCAAGGCAAATCTGCCAAGTTAAGATTGCTACTCTTTGAGTAGGTCTGTGTTTTTCTTGCCTAACAGCCTCAGGGCTGAGCCTTAATTCTTAATTTCCTTCTGAAACGTTTGGCTGCATGTTATTTTGAGAGTGTTCATGTTGGATTTATCTGCATTTCCAGTTTCTTCCCTTGAAATGGATGTCAGCCGCCAGCTAAGGAAAACGACACTTGAAGTTTTTAGCATGGCAGGATATGATACTCAGTACCCTAATTTGTAATGTGCTTTTTAAAGTCATTGCTATCTTTTGATTATCCCAGTGGATACTTATCTGAACTTTTATATTTTCCACTCTAATTTCTTTCTAGTTCAGACTCTATGTGTTCATTAAAAGAGTGTTTTTTCACTTCTTATTTTTATTGAAGTACTTTTTTCAAGTATCCTATTATAGAAGTATAGTGGAGCTTAAGATGCAGTAACTAATACATCATGAAGGTAAGCATTCCTTCTTATTTTTCCGATGATGCTCAGATGTGAAGACGACTACTGGTGGACTCATCTTGTAGGACAAATAAGCTGAGACTTTCTGTTCCAAAACTTGGACAGTGGAAGACTGGCTTCAGTGAAGCAATAGAGCTTTGTATGCTGTAGTTATTTTAAAAAGTAGGGAAATTATGAGAGATGCCAGCATTGGTTCTTAAGGAATATCTTAAATACAAGTAATACCAATGCGTCGTGTCTGAAGTTAAAAGCAGCATGTATGCTTCATTTATCTTTGAATCAGTTAACGAAAAGTTGAAAGCGAAACAGCTTTTTAGTCACGGTGAGGTTCGCCTTTCCTGTTTCCAAATATCCGTTGACTAAACAAAACTTTTACTTGCTGTTTTGACCTTGCAGGGAGAATTAAAATTGCAGTGAAGTAATTGAAAATGCAGCTGCTTGTCTCTACTATATGGTCAAGAATATGAAAAGTGCTCCCAAGTACAAGGAAAGCTCGTCTTCTGATCACTTCCTCCACAGGTTTTTCATAGCAAGGCAGCAAGGGCTTTCAGTGCGGTACTACTTACAGAGCTGCCTACAAAAAATGTAATTTCGTACATGCTGTTGGGGTGCCTGTTCCACTTAGTCATCAGGATATGGAGAAATTTTCATGGCTTCATGTTGTGCAGTGTCTTAAAACTGTTTTTATTGTAGCAGTGATTGTTGTTTTTAATTGTACTTTCTTAATTACCTTATAAAGTTAAGAGTTGTCTTGTGAAAGCTTGTGTGGTTGTTTTGGGGGTTTTGTTTGTTTTTTTCCCCTGTAGAGCTTATTCTAAGCTAAAATGTAGCTTTTCCTGAAGTTGAACAAAGAACTTATCTAGGGAGTTACTTTGTTTTCATTTATTTGTTGCCTGGTTTCTCTTACTACCAGTGTTTATTTTAAGTTTAGCTTAAGCATATGTAACACTTCAAAGGAGGAAATATGGTATTTGATATTTGTCAGTTTTCTTATGCCAAAGGCATAAGATTGATACGGTGCATTTTGAGTGATGATGAATGATTCTTTGCCTACTGAAAATGCCCGGAGTATTCCCCTTGCATTAACATATCATAGAATCATAGAATGGTTTGGGTTGGAAGGGACCTTAAAGGTCATCTAGTTCCAACCCCCGTGCCATGGGCAGGGACACCCTCCACTAGACCACGTTGCCCAAAGCCCCATCCAACCTGGCCTTGAACACTTCCAGGGATGGGGCTGCCACAACTTCTCAGGACAACCTGTTCCAGTGCCTCACCGCTCTAACAGTAAAGAATTTCTTCCTAATATCTAATCTAAATCGACCCTCCTTCACATTAAACCCATTACCCCTTGTCCTATCACTCCATGCCCTTGTAAACAGTCCCTCTCCATCTTTCCTGTAGGCCCCCTTCAGGTACTGGAAGGCCGCAATTAGATTGTCGCCAGGCTGAACAACCCCACCTCTCTCAGCCTGTCCTCATAGGAGAGGTGCTCCAGCCCTCTGATCAACATTGTGGCCCTCCTCTGGACTTGCTCCAACAAATGTAAAGCAAGAAATTAGAAGGAAAAATTAATTATTTAGGAAGAAGAAAAAATAGATTCTAAATGCATAATTTTAGGGGTAGAGAGAAAACAGTGCTAAAAATGGTTTAAAAACCCTATCAGGATGAGTGTCAATGTAATGATTGTATTTTTTGTTTTGTTTTGTTTTTTGTAGGGTACTCAAAGAAAACCCAAAAGTCTTCCTCCCCTTGATCCAGAAGTTCTTTCTGTATTTGTGCCTCCATTTATCAGCAGAGATGATATTCAGGTGATTAATGGTGGTAACAACTTGAATAAAAGTAAACGCCGGTCTTTCCGAAAGAAAAAAGAGAGACCAAAGGTTGAAAATCTCAAGAGTCTCAATGGGGAGCAGAAAGCACCTGACACTGAAGATATTACAGTTCCAAAGGACATTGATCTTATTGGTTTGCCACAGCTATGCTTCCCAGGTACAGTAAGGTTCACACTTCTTGAGAACTGTTTTAATATATATTTGTTGACCCACAGTATAGGCTTTTTTTTTTTTTTTTCCCAGTATAGTGTTTTTTTTTTTTTTTTTTTTTTTTAAATTATCATCTTCTCTATCTCTTCTATTTCACAGTATAAAAAATGTGTCTGCTTATGAGCAGGTCAGTGATGAAAGCAGCTTTTACCTGAATGGGGTGCCCTTACTCAGTATGGCTCCGTTCTGTGAAACAGATCTATTAGCAATAGTAGCTGCAACACCTGCAAGAGGGAAACTGAAAGTCACTTTAGCCCTTACTGGCAAATCTTGGTTTGACTGAAGTGCATACACGCAGACACTTTTAAAATTCTCTTTTTCTCCCCCAAATGACTGAGTACTCTTTCACTTTTCATTTGGTATTAAGATATACCTGATGTAGTGACTGTTTTCTCCGAGTTTAACTGAGGAAATTTTAATATGCATGTCACTATTGCAGACCTTATAAATATCTTGAAAGAAAAAAAAAAGTGAACAAAACCTATATCTATTGTATTTTGCCACTTAAAACTAAGAATAATTATATAATATTTTTGCTTCTTCAAAAATGTGCAGCTTACAGCCTTTGTTACAACCCTTAGATCAAATGAATTGTATATGTGCATTTTAATCCCTTATAATGTGACATTTCTCTTCAAATTAAGTGGAAATGTGCAATAATTGTCATAAATTGCTTTTCAAGCAGCTGTAGTTAAATATGTAGTTAAAAAAGGGGTTTCTGCCTTCGTTGCAGGAGGACTTTATATAACTTCTGAATCAAAAGAGGACCACATTCATTTCCTGGTCTTCACAGATGTCTGTGGTAACAGAACGTACGGTGTTGTTGCACAATACTACCAGCCTATGCAAGTATGTTATTTAACTCACGCTTTTATTAAAACATATGAAAAGATACAAAGTAAAACCAAACACTTTGAGAATAATGTCAGGTTTAATTTATGAAAATAGTTAACAGATGTGTTTTTATGTTAGAAGGAATAAAGAGCAAATTATACTTTATATTGCCATTGTAAATTGAGTATATTGGAACGTCATTGCATTAGGAAAAACTGTTAAGGATTTCAGTTAGGAGTTTTGAATATTTAGGAGCAGTCTTTGTCCCTTGGACATCTTTTTTGGTGAAGATGTACCCTGTGTTCTTTCTAAATGTCTTTTGTGCTGAAATTCTTTTTAATATGTGTGTCTAAGTCTTATAGGCTGACATTTTTCTGAAGAGCTTAAGGGAGATAGGCATCTAAATCCCCTTGAAATTTAGAGGGAATTGGATATCATATCTCTGTGGTTCTCAAAAAAATATCAGCCATAAATTCATGATTAACATAACCACATTAATCTGTAGTTTTCTTGCAGGATGGCTGTATTTCCTCAGATGGGCGGGCCCATTGGGAATCAGCGCAGACTGGGAAGATGCCTGTCTGTTTTGTACCATTCGCTGTTTGTGTTATATCCAGATATCCATATTTTAATGCCCTAAAGGATTGTCTCTCTTGGTAAGACACTATCCTGTGTGTTTCTCCTGAAAAATAACTGTGCACGTTTTAATACGTGAATTTGCATGATGTGGACAGGATAGCTGTGTAATTCTGAAACTAGCATTAGTTTTAAGCTATGGTAGTGTGAGACGTGTGGGAGAGGAAAAGAAGAAATGTAATGTGAATGTTACCAGACATGTGAATTACTTAGACAATAAGCACAAGTTCTCAATATCAAGGAAATTAATTGTGTTGTTTTCTTTGTTTTCTTTGTTTTTTTGTAAGTCTAGAAAATACTAATTTGCAGGGAACAGATCTGTCAAAGATTTTGGGTTGGTGGGTTTTTCTTTTTTTTTTTTGGAAGAGGGTTAACTCTAATTTTGCCACACTGGTGAAAATCACTTTGAAAGCACAAAAACTTCTTTATAAGGCACCAAATAAATGTCATAAGACCATGAATATATGTAGTAATATATTAGTAAATTTAGTTATTCTTTACCTAAATAATTCAAGTCACTTGAGGGAGTACAATGGTTAACTGGCTGTCATAGAACTATGAGAGAAAAGCTTAGGATACGGAGTACTTCACTGGTTAGGAACAGTCAAATACTCTGCAATGTAGAGGAGTTAAAAGATAAGTGAACATGGGTCTGTCTTTTTATTTAGTAACTTAACTTATTTTGAGGTTGTGTGTTGATTTATTGTTAAACTGTTAAAATCTACGTGCTTCTATTCTGAAGTGAATTAAAACCTCCTTGCACCAGGGAGCCTGTGTGTACATTGGACATTACTAGGTAATCTTCACTTGCAGATCTGTAGTCCAAAGGTAGAAGAAGTTTTTTTTTAATCACTAAATTCCAGTCAAGTTTTCTGGAGTCAAATTTGAAGTCAGGTATTTTCTTTTTGTAGGTATTTGCTTCTTATGCATAAGTTGAAAGATGTTAGGGTTTTAGGTGGGAGCTTGAATCTTTCACTTTGTTCTGCTGGCAATCGATATGCTGGGCAAAGGAGCAACAGTGTTCTTCCTGGATACTAGCTGAGGTGCATCACTAGCCCCTAACTTGACTATACCAGGATGAGACCTGAGCACTCATTTCCCCACCTCATGCAGCTCTTCTTCCCAATGCTGTGGGCTTGGATCTGCTTGGAGCACTGGCTGGCTTTCCCTGGTTTAGATGAAGAGAGCCCTGGAGGAACAAAGCAGTGCCTTTAGTTCATACGTTGCCTCCAAAAAAAGCTGTGATATCAGAAATGAGTGGCTCTGGCAGCCCTGAAGAATGAGTGAACACACGACCAACACTGTTCATGCTACCTCTGCTCTTTCTTTTTCATTAGTATGTGGTCAAGGGACTTCAACATGATGGAAACTAGGTAGTCATAGGTTAGTGCAAAATCGAGATGATCAGTAAAATAAGGAAATGTTTGTTTCCCTTTCTTCTTTCCTGCCCAGATCACTTTTTCCACCCCATGTGTTTCAATAATTACATCAGCCGTTGGTATTGCAGGAGCTGATTCATTTGCTGCCTTTTTAGAGTCTCGTCTCAAGTAGATGCTAATTAGCATATGTAACTCTTACAGCTATACACCTAAGCTGTGGTCCTCTGCTGTTTATATCCAGACTTCATGCTTTTATACTGTGAACTCAGCCTGGATGAGGGCTCACGACACACTAGGTTTTCACTGGGTAGGAAACAGCATAGTTTCAGCTTTACAGTTACGATGTTCATCTGTAGTTTATACAGTATATTCATAAATGAGTTATTTCTTTTCTGAAGTGAGAGATATCTGAGCTAGGAGAAGCAGTCAGTTTGCTTATGGATTTTTTTTTTTAAAGAGCCCACTAAGGGAAAGGTGGGAAAAAGTTCAGGAAAAGCATGGAAAATTCCAGAGCTTACAAAAATGTTTCTAGGTCTCATATTTGTTTAGAGCAGACAGGAACCGGGTGGAGTTAACTCTCTAGAGGTGCAAGATTCTGCCTCTGGGTGGATATTTTAAACATTATAATTAAATATCTCTGCCTTGATCAGATACAGGAGAGTTTTGCACCTTTTTAAAGCATTAATGTCCAAGCTAGCTACTATGGATGGCTTTTCCCTTTAAGCTGAGTTTGTGCTGGTTTCTAAGGGGAGTTCAGATTCATCAGTAACTGACCATCTAGGCTTTATGTGATTTGTAAATACGTGAATAATTATAGGGGAGTTCAAGAGGACAATAGTCTTCCATGACAGTACGGGGTGTTGTCCTGGTCATTTAACAGGGGAATTTATTAACAGTTGCACAGCTCTTCTCTCTCCTTTTTTGCTGCTGCATCTGTATGTAAGATGCAAGTGTCTGTAACTGGCAGGAGAGGGGAAATGCAAGGGACAAAGCTGCATTTTGTGCTGTTGTTTCCCACTGTACTGGAAACTCAATTGATTAAGTTTCCATGACATTTTCTTCTGGAATTTTTTGTATTTTTTTTTTTTTTAATTCTCATGATCACCGCATATTTTCCTTAATAGTATTTGATAGGTAAGTTCAGAAGGTTTGCCCTTCTGTTTCTGGTGTATTTTTGGTGTGGTTTTGGTTTTGTTTTTTTGTAAGAAAAGATATTTCACTGTACCAGAGTATGCTTGAGCAGGAGGAAAGGAAAGGGTGGAGAGATACCATTTTTCTTTGTTTTGGTTGTGTTACTGACATTTTTCATATGGTATGAAACAGCTACTGGGATGTGTGGCTGTTCTGAATGGAATATAAGACCTCAATGATATATTTGAATATAGTGCCCTGTACAGCTGGGGATGTTTCAGCTTTTTGTAACACTGCAAAACATTGATGTTGTTTTCCTGTAAACCAGAAAGGGAATTATTTTCGTTTTGGATGCCTTAGCTGTAATCAGGTGGCCACTGGGTTAAAGATCTAATTAAATGTTTTTGTTGACCGAGTGTACTCAAGTAGTAGTGCCTCCTACACTTAACAAGTAATAACAGTTTCAGGAGTGCACTTGTATCCTTGGTATGTTTCAGTGGTGTTTTGCAGGATTTGAAAATACTTGCTGGTGGACGTGCTGGTGGAAATAGGACCATCTATTTCTAGTGTATAGCCCATTCCTCATGAGAACTAGTGGAAAAACACTATTATTGTTAATGAAGGTGTGATGTTGAAATAGCATCTAAAGAGGTTCTGCTTCCATTCAGGAGCTTTTTGCAACAAAAGATTTCATTTTCCTCTAGAATTCTGCTGTGCATAGCTTATTTTCTCCAGCACCTGCAGTTCACAGGATTGCTTATATGTGGGTGGTACTTGTCATTCAGAAGAGTCCTCAAAGGTATTTTATTGTCATGACAATTCCCAGATAAAACCTGGGTTCCTAAACTTATTCAAATGTTGGAGTATAGTATAAATCAAAACTGAAAACTGAGAGCAAACTGAGACACAAAGGCAATGTCAAATTATAAATCCATGTAGGTGCTTTGAACTACAAGGGGAAGTGGCAAACTTTCACCATAGTAATGAAGGTCTTCATATTCTATGTAATTAATTTTATAACTAATTCACATATTACTAGCATACAGTGCTTCCAATTCAGAACAATTTGAATGGAGTGTGTGTGTCTCTCCAAAGCAGACAGATGTGCATCTAGACTGTTTAACAGCACTGCGGCTGTTGGATTATTCTACGTCATTATTTGAAAAGGTTCAGTTTTAAATTGAGATGTTTTGGCACTTTGCACAGGTAGTTTTACCTCAATCTGTTACACTACATGAAAAGTGAAATATTCCTGGCAGTAATCTCCTTCTGGATGAACTCCCGTCTTGGATGGATGAATAGACTCCATTCAAACAGTAAATCTTTGAACCTGTATATTAGTCCTTTCAGCTGCCTTGAGAAAAGGTGGAAGTGTGCAAATAGCTCACAGCATTGAGGCAGTACAAAGGACCTATTCTTAGATGTTCTTGCTTTCTGAAACATCTGTCTGTGTACAGTTAATAGAGGTAATGGAAGGTTCATAAACTCCTTAGCTCTCTGCTTTAATGTTTCAAAGATTACTTCATTTATTTTAGCAGACGTTTGCAGTACAGAGCTGTCAGCTGCTATTATGTTGCATTAATGGGCACAGTGTACTGATTAGGGAGCTCTTACCCTCCTTTCTGTACATCTGCCGCTTTTTCAGCGTCAGGGTCGGATTGTTTCTGTTTGTAACATTTACTCATTTACTGGATGTGTTGCTATGTGTTTTTTGTCTCAAAAAAACCCCCAACGCAACAGGTCTACCTATGCCGTTAGGCCACATCAAAGGCATTACTAAGTGTGACAGTGTATTTGTTTAAATTGAGGACTCTACTGTCTGATTTTCTTTGATAATTCTTACATTTCCCTACCCCTGCCTGCTCTGAATAGCTGATGGTCTTTTTGGGGATATGTGTAACAGTCTAGTACTCAGCCCAGGGCAGTTTTCAAATGTGAATTTAGTAAACTTAAATGTCTTGTTAATCCAATTTAAAGCTCAGTAGTATATGACAGACTATTTTAATTCAGGAATCTAAATGCCATACACAAATACTATGTCCTGGATGCTAATGTATCTCTTGACCTATTCAGTTGCTTTCTAGACCACTTTCTTCCTGAGGAGTGAGTATTCTTCGCAGGAAACCAGTGAAACTGCAAACAGAAATAAAACCTGAAGGCGGAATATTACCATATTAAGTTCCTAGTTTCTATATATGTAGGTTTCCAGGCTTAAATTTCTGATTTTGTAAAGGTTTGGGGTTTATTGTTTTTTTTTCTTTCTATAAACACGCACATGAATCTTATCTTGAACAAAATGCCCTTTCTGACTACAGCTATCTAACATCTTAATTGCTGCATTTCAGAAATGCTGTTGGACTTAATGATTTTCAGTCTTAATAGCTCATATGTTTCAATGTTCATGAATTGATCTGATATATAATATAAACCCCATGACTTTTTTGGACTTTGTTGACTTTTTTTGTTGACTTTGTTGACATAGCTAGGGTAACAGTTCTAAAATAGAAACGTTTGATAGGTTTGCACAGCTGTATTTGTTCTTTGTATGGGTAGGGAAAACAGCAAAGAGCAGTGTTCATGGAGGCCTAGGCTTTACGCTAAATATGGCTCTTGCTTCACATTCCTCTGCAGTTAAGCCTATGTCTACAACCTCTCTTTTCCTCTGATGCTGTTTTCCATCCCAGAACTGATGTCTCATGCTTGGGATGGGAGAAGCACCATGGCACTATGTTGCAGCTGTGGGTGTTTTGTTCCTCAAGAATCTCTATAAGGCATTTCCTTCAGCTGTGTCTCACTTCTAGGTTTTCTTTGCCATCATGAGGCTCAGTGTGCCATCTGCATCTTCTGATATATATGATGCAGTAGTATCTTATGCATGGAAGTAAAAAAAACTGCTTCTGACACAGCAGCATCATTAAAATTAAATGGAGCCACTAAAGGATCTAATAAATTAGAAACCAGTTAGCTGGAATAATAGCTTCATTGCTCTTAATATTTTTTTTTCTAGTTTATCAGCAAAAAGGCTTTTTTTTTTCTGTTTGCATGTTACTATTTATAAGTAATTTTCTGTAATTTAATTTCAGCTTACTAGTGCAACTGAGACCTTTCAAGGATTTAGATGTTGAGGAGCACATAAAAGAATTTGCAGCAAAATTATTTTTAATACCCAGCCCACCACCAGGACCACTCCACTTGGTAACTACTGATGCTGAATTTCATAATTACTTTAATGTTATGTGTTATAAAGCACTAAGATGTTGTTTTCTATTAATTAGGGGACATTCTTCACTGTCAGGTCAGAGATTTTACTTGCTGATATAAAACTGGTGTAAATACCTGTGCTTTGAAAATGAGGCTATGCATTATTAGTACATAAAGTAACAGTGTGACCAGGGAGCAGGCTGTTTAATTTTTAATACTCTTCTGGGAAGGATTTGGCTCATGCCAACTAGTTACTGTCTGAAATGATGCTTGGTGAGGTCTGGGGGCAGCATAATCTAGTTTTTGGCTTCTAGGGGGCAGCCCAATAATCTCCGCTACAAGCGGTTGGAAGTTCCAGTCTATAACTTCTCTAATAAGAATCATAGAATCTTTAAGGTTGGAAAAGACCTCTAAGACCATAAGTCCAACCGTCAATGGAAGCTTACCTTTCACCTGGACAGTATGCCATTGCCATCTTATTGAATATACATGTATAAACTCCAGTAAATCAGGTAACTATCGCTTGACCAAAGTGTGGGAGTTCAGCCATGGACTTCTCCTTAGCTGCTTTCCTTGACCCTGGGACGAGGGGTTAGGAGCAGAGGAAAAAATAGCATAGCTGGAAAATTGTCTGAATGATTGGCTAAACCAGCTGCTAAGTGCTGAAGTATGCAGCATGTGCAGGATCTGGCCCCCAGAGGTTTGAGCTGGAATATTTGAAACACTGGAAGAGCTCATTCGTTTTGGCTTGTTCTGTCTTCTTAATGTGAGCACCTATGTTCAGTTCTTTTGTTCATATTTTTTTCTATTTTCTGTACGAATTTTATTAATACTCTTGATGTCTCAGTTGTATCTACAAATATAAATTCCATTATTTTATAATGCTTATAACAAAGCAAGTTTAATTCTCTTAAAAGAATAGATGTATATTTAAAGATTTATTGGCTAAACAACCTATGAGAATGAAAGGAGACAAAGTCCATGTTAATATTTCAAGCTAGTTATTATGTCTTTTAATATTTCCCTCCCTTTCTATTTCAGTTTTCTGCAGTATACAAATATCTGTCTTCTTGCTCTCAATTAATGTTAATATTTTGTAGTTGGAACTAAAATCCTGAATTAAATGTGTTGTAAAGAAGTAAACGGAAAACATCTGTTATTACAGGTATTTAATATGAAACCACTTCAAATAATTATTCCTTCACGAGAGGATCCAGACAGTCCAATTATTGACTTGGATCTTCATCTTCCGTTGCTGTGTTTCAAGCCAGAGCAGGTGCTGCAGGTAAAACTAACTGCTACTTGTAACGTATATTAGAGATTGACAGTACTGGTAATTTGTGGTTTAAAAAAAATCAAGATGTTTAGTTACCCAAAAAACATTATAAACCCAGGAATTCCGAATAGTGTTAGTTCTGCATATTAGAGATATGGCACAATAAAATGTACTTCTTATTAAGATATTTTGTTATTCATACACCAGATTAGATTAAGGTATATTGGATTTCTTTCTCCTGTGGTTTAGTAATAGGTGCTAAATTTCTTAAGCATGTATTTTAAAATATTAATGCCCAAGCTGATTGACAGATTTTATTTTGAATTGTCATAAAATGCATGTTTACATGATTCATAAGAATCCTTTTCATGTGTAAGAGAGGGACTTGTAAGATGGATTGATAACAGTTGGTGTTCTCATATAAATAAAGTGGAAATGGTATAAAAAGACAAGAAAATACCAAAAGCTATTTGCAAAGAATTTTTTCAGTGTTTCATAGAATCGTACAATAATTTTGGTTTGGAGCATCCTTTGTGGTTTCCTGATCCAACTCCCTGCTCAAAGGCCACCTGTGAAGCTAAATTAAGTTGCTCAAGGTCATCACTATTATTGGTGCTGCTTCCTCTAAAACGAACAGGTTGGAGGCCTCTTTCCAGCGATGACTGTAAACCTCACTCCTGACAGTAGGCAGTACTGCCTTGTTTTTTGGATATGACCATTCTTCCACCCACCGTGGGCTTCTGCCCGTGTGTGCATGTTATGAATAAAGCTATCTGAAATCCTAAATGGTCCTCTGCAACTGGTGCATCTCGAGCATGGAGTTTGTGTGTTAGCACCTTTGCAAGATGTCCTGCCTGTGCCGTTAGTCTTCTTGGCTTGGATTCATCCCACCTAACTTGAGGCATTTGAGTTTGGTGCTTAGATGCCATTAGGTCCCTCTCTACCAGTGGAAAAGGGTGGACATCTCCAGATAGCTTCCTGAATTGCTGTCTGAAAGCGCTGCTCTCCAGTGGCACTATAAGGAATGTGACTAGCTAGAGTCTTGAATAGACGTTTGGCTGAGATATCTAAAATCTAGATAGTCTTTGTGTTCATTATCAAAGACAAGTTTGTGTTCATTATCAAAGACAAGTTTGCTTATATTCTTCATCTGGGCACTTTTTACAGGCATTTTACAGTCTAATACTGTGAAAGAAAGGTAACAGATCTCAGTAATTCCAGCTAAATCCTGGCCTTGGTGACATTGGTGGCAAAACTCTCGTTGACTTCCAGTGTCACATTTTCTCTCCTTTTCTGTTTTCCTCTCTTCTTAATTTTGTAAGAATCTTTAAATGGATGTTACTTCAATTTATAAATAGATAAGGTAGCTATTAGAAAACAGAACTTGTGAGACTGAGTTTTGCAAGTAGATGAAATATTTGCATATATCATGTTCTAGATATAACTCTTCATAAACACTTAGCATTTTGGTTTTTTTCAGATTATGACCTGTATTTTGACTGAGCAGAGAATCGTTTTCTTCTCTTCTGATTGGGCTTTGCTGACACTCGTTGCTGAATGCTTTATGTTGTACCTTCATCCTCTTCAGTGGCAACACACTTTTGTGCCTATTCTGTCTCGTCATATGCTGGATTTTGTAATGGCCCCAACATCTTTTCTTATGGGATGTCATATTGATCATTTTGAAGAAGTTAGCACGGTACGTTTTAGACTATTACCACTCGTGCGGTTCGCTTTCGGTGCATTTGGCCCCTTACTTCTTTCAGATGCATCTAGAAACTTGCTTTTGTTACTTAGGTCTGTGAGAAGTGAAGAAATTAAAAGCAATGAAACCATACTGATGTGAGCACTGGCTTATTGCAAAAAGCTTGTTGTGTATCCCTTACCTTTCTTTTCTTTGCAGGACAATATCATGATTTTTGTGAGTTCAAGTTTAATTTGGGGAAAGATTTTACTTCCATGTCTTTGTATAGTATAAATAGTTTAACTTCAGATTGGTGAGGTTATTTTTTGCTCAGAGTTGTGTGGGATGAATTAGGTGCTTTTTCCAGGCATCTGGGTTAAGAATTGAGCACGCACTTGAAAATATTCTCATGATGCTACTGTTCCCCATAGTGGAGTTAAGTATTTAATGAAATAAGAAAGAAAAAGCAATGTAAAGAGTATAATCTCACAATTTTTCTGAGGGATTTTTTGCAGTCTTTTTTTGAATCTTAGTTAAATAAGCCTGTTTCAGTGGGTAACATTAATCTTGGTTACCCAGAAAGATGTAAGAAAAACTCAGCTTCATAGTGGAGGGCTAATATGAATATAGTTTTTTGAGGGTGTCACATAGGGTTTCTGTGGATGTTCAAGATCAAACACAGAAAAAATGTGTAAGTTTGTGTTAGATGAATCCATCTGATTATAAGCCAAAGTGAAACTGGTCAATCTAGGTAAGTCCAAAATCAGCAAAGAATTAAGTTAAAATAAAGCAGAAAAATATTTATTTTAGCTAGTGGTAAGATGATGTCACTATCAGAAATAAGTACAGATTAGAGAACACACTTTTCTTTGATATAATTTGAAAGATTTTATGTTTGCACATATATATACTTTGTTGCAGTCTGATCTTTAAGGTTATTAAAATTGCAAACTGAGAGATCAGCAGGGGCTTTTACATCCATGTGACTTTTTGTGCATTAGCATGTGCTTCTGTGTTTGAGACTAATATATAAACCCTCCCTCTCCCTGTCATCTCACAGGGTAAGTACAGGAGTAAATGCTGAATGGAGAAAGCTTTCCAGGAGCTTCTTTGTGTACATACATGCGGTTTTGTACATATCTTCATAATGTATACCTTTTCAAGCATGGGCTCAGAGATCCAGTATTAATTTAATACTACATAAAATGCATATTAGGTTACCAAATGTTTAGGTACTGCGATTAATATCTATTAATTTAATGACCTTTTTTTTTCTTGAAAATAATTGTTTAGTTATCCATATGATCTTCTGGTTGGGGAAAAAAAGTCAATCCTTTGCTGGTTTACCTTCTTGCTGAAATAATTAATTGTCTGAGGAATACATAAAGGAGAAGTAAATGTTTTTTACAATACAAGTATATACAGTCATTGTATTTTCTTTTGTTAAAAGGAAACTGAAGACTTAATTCTAATTAATATAGATAATGGAAATATTACGCATTCAAAAATGGCTGAAGAGGAACCTGAAATTCCAGATGTTCCATTACAAGCAGCGGAAACTTTCATAAAAAGGTGAAAAGATCTTGAAGCTGTGTTTATCTGAGTGTGTAAATCATACTTGACCCTCTAAGTTTTTTATTTTTTTATTATTAATTATTATATTTTATTGTTTCATTCATATAAAAATGCTGTATTTGATAAGGGCAAATTGAAAATTTCAATTAATTAATAAACAAGTAACTTTAAGCAGTCATTACTATAAGCATATTATTTTGCAGTACTCGAAATGCTTGTTTCTTTTTTAATACTGATACTGATTATTCTCTGAACTTTACTGGTCTTTACACAGAAGACTGGGTGCTCTGTGATTTACACCTACTAATAGGACTTCCAGGAACTCTTGTTAGCTTGTCAACACTTGCAAATCAATCTTGCACTTTCTGTAGCTGAGAGATGTGTGAGGCCTAAATGACTACTTCTTTAAAAGGTATGAAAAAAAGTTATTGGTGTTAGGATGTAGCTTGATAATTGTCTTCTCTGTGTAGAGTGGAGAGTCTTCAGCTGCATTATGATCTAGAGCTCTGCCATCTCCGAGCCAGCACAGATCTTAGTGAACTCCAAATGCGTAGAAGGGCTTGGCAACAGAAACTGAATATGGAAGTTCAGCAGATGACTTTGCAGTTAATTGTTAATATCTTCAGGTGAGTGGATATAGTATTTCTTATTATAAGAGCATATGGTAGTGGTTAAGACACTTCCCCTGTCACTGAAAATATTCTTATTTTGTCTTACTTTATCAATATTTTGTAAATCTTTTAAGTTTTGTGAGGGAATATGTGAGGGAGATTCTACTAGCCTGCTGGAATATCAATAATTAATATATTCAGGTACCTATACATTGCTAGGACATCATAAATAAAACTGTTCTCATTTTGCACTTGTGTGCCTTCTGTGTGAAAATTCCAGGAAGAGAAGTGCAGACCTCATATTTTGTAATTAGGAAAAGCTTAAGGCCCAATAGTGATATCAATTTGTAACTGGATGCAGTCTTGGTCACTGTCGTTAGAGGAAAATGAATTCAAACTGGGACAGGGAAGAAGAGCTGAAAGCAGGATCAGGAGTTCAGAACACCTGGGTGTGTGAACTGAAAAAATGCTGAGAATGGATGAGAGATCTGGAGAGCGTGACCACGTGAGAATGAAGGAGGGAGAGGAGCTGTTTAAGCTCAAGGACACAGTGTTGGCACAAGAAATGCTGGGTATTGGATGTGGTTGCGACTGACATTTTAATAATGAGGTGGAGTAGGTTTTGGGTTTTTCTCTCAAAAAAAAAAAAATCTAATGTGCTGCTACCCCTGGTTTCTTTATCTTATCAGTCTTGGTACTGTTTGTAAATCCTGCTATTATCTGCTTGTGTTTTGGGGAGACAATGGAAGTGTGATAGGCGATTTGTACAAAAAAGTGCAGCAAATAGATGGCTGGTTTGCATATGCTTCATTTCTTTTTACATAGATACTAACATACTCAACCATGAAAATGAAAGTGCCAACCTAGTATTTCTAAAGAATCTGATTATATGGACAGAGGTCTGCAAATAGTTGTGCGGATAACCATGCCCAGCTATTGCTTGCTGGAGATGGTGCTTGCTTTGGATCAGCTACCTGAATGCTCCCTAACAGCTTCAGTCAGAAGGTGCTGGGTTAATTTATATAGTCCAAATACCAGGTCTTTGTTAATCTGCTCACTTTTGTTGGATCAGCTTAGGGATAGGGAATGTTCATACAAGTGGCTGGGCACTCTCGGGGGACAGTGGCTGCTGAGTGTGGAGAATAGAGCAGACTTTACAGCTAGCACAGCTGGATGAGGAAAATGAAATGTCTTTACCACCTGATGTGCTACTGCTGTGGGATTTGGTGGCTTTCAGTGTTTGGCAACAATATGTTCCAGATAAAGTTGAGGAGAAATGCATTTTGCTGCTTACAGCTTGAACTCTTGAGCGCACTAAACATTTGGCTACAAAAAATGAACAGATGTTTTGCTCTCTGAGAGATAATATGTTTTGCAAAGGGGTTGATTCTTCTCTTTCTTTCTTTCTCCTTTCCTTCAAACTTTCTTTCTTTGTTCTTTTTTTTCAGCCTTGTTTCTTCTGTCTTCTAATCCTATGTCTACCAGCGTCCAGGAGTGAAGGAAAGTAGATCTCTGATGCAATTGTGCTGCCAGTTGCTACTGTCATCAGTGAAGCACTGTAGTATTTTTGTCTCTGTGGAGGTTCCATGTTTAAAGCAAACAATGCTGAATTATGTAGAATTATATAGAACTATACACTTTTACTAACAGTCTTTTTTTTCTGAACCCATATGGTTTGATAAACTGTTAATGGGCTTTTATCACTAATGTATGAAAGACAAGCGATGTATAGACCTGTCAGTTCTCTGCATGGGTACAAGATTCCCCTTTTATGCTTACATTCAAATTTTAGGTCACCAACTTATTTTCTTCATTTATGTGTTTTCATGGGAATTTCTTATTCCTCAATACTCAGCATGAGTAGATGAAATAAAATAATAAAAGAAACCCTGATTTTAGCCACTTGCACATATCTACCTTAAATAACTTATCATATTTTACTCACAGACTTCAGTTCTGAGAAGAGCTTTTTTCTGAAAAACTCCCACTTTCTGCTCCTGAAACAACTTTTTCTGGCTCACCTTTAGGGCACAGAAGTTACTATTGATGTCTGGTTTTCCAGGGATAGTATAGGGCCTCTGCTGCCTGCTGTGACCATGCAGATACTAAAATATGTGTCCGGTTCTTTATCTCACTTTCTCTTTTATTTCAATAATTCTGTCTCTTTAGTTTAACACAATTTCCAGTTATTGCTGGCTTTATGGGCAGAGTTTGAGACTGCAGTAAAAAAAATATGTAATCTATAATATTTCTCGTGTATGTTAGGAACTGTGTATGTAAATGTAATTCCAGGATTGGAGCCCAAGTCGTGACTTAAATATATAGATTCTCCTCTGTGGGTTACTAAAATTGATTCCACAGACTCTAAGTGAATTTGCTAGTTTGAAATGGTAATGGCAGCAGGTAGCCTGTCTTACTTCTTGTAAGGTATGATTCAGTAACTCAGACTTGTCCGTTAAAACTGAGTTTGCATTTTGATGCTGCAGCATAATTCTATTTTGCCTTCTCATGCTGCAGCCTATTTCTATTTTGCCTTCTGATACTGCAGTGTATTTCTAGTAGTACCAGTGGGCTGCTGCTATGGCAAAAGTGCAACTTGCTTACAAATCTCCAAGCATATTTATCTATCTATTTATTTATTTTTGTCTCAGGGAGGTAAAAGACCATCTAAATTACGAACATAGAGTATTTAACAGTGAAGAATTTCTGAAAACAAGGGCAGCGGGAGACCAGCCATTTTACAAAAAGGTAAATTCAGTGTTAGATATGTTGTGATTCTTCTGTTATTAATGGTATTAACTAATGGTATTAACTAATGGTATTAACTAATGGTATTAACTAATGGTATTAATTAATGGTATTAATTAATAATCCTATATTTTAGGATTAATGTAAAAAAATTAATAGAATGGTCACAGTTTTGTCTGTGTGGTATTGTTGAACCACTAGCTTTCACATTATGCTTTACCAAATTTATTTTACTGTAAACAGAGGAAATAGTATCTTGCTCTCCAAAATGCTATCTCCTGTGTAATTCCAGAGCAAATTAATTGTAATTCCTCGAGGGGTGAAGTTAACCTATGGCAGATGGTCAGTAAAGCTACATCTAAACTGTATTTTAAGCACAGGCACCTGTCCAAACTGTTTGGACTGAAGCCCATACGTAGACATGAGTTTTCAGTAAGCCTGTGAGCACAGCAGAAGGGAGCTTAAATGACACAAATTGAAGTACCTGCTTCATCTGCAGCCTGAACAACAGGTTATGGAGTTGACAATGCCTGCCTGGCTCCAGGCCATCAGCTTGTTTCCCACAATGCCTCACAGCGAACGCGTGCCTCTGACTCGGAGCATGAGTGGCACTGCTGTCCTTTGGGCCTGCAGTGTGACAGAGCATGCGGGACATAGGTTGATTTAGCTTACATGTGCTTTACCAGGTAGTGTAACTGTAGCTTACTTTTATGCGCTGGTGAAGCCCATGAAGTAATACTCAAATAGCCCATAGCCTCAGGCCAGGCCCGATAGTGCCGGAGGCTGAAGGACAATCTGAAATCCCCATTTAGTGTTTCTTAGCCCTCCTGCTATCTCAGTTTATTAGATACTTATCTGGTTTTGAAACCCTGTAGGGGTGCGGAGTTTTTCCTTATGTGCCCTGTGTCCCTTTTGCATCTGCCCTGATCAGCTTGATCCTTCCATTAGCGTAAGCTTGATCTGCTGAAGCTCCAAAATGATCAATTTTCACCTGCTGTATGCAGTGAACCAGGTTTTTTATGAAGGATGTGGTCTTTTCTTCTGAAGCACAGATAATACTGTGCATGAGTCTGCCTTTTATGTAATGACTTTGTATCTCAGAAGGAAATGGGATGGGTTTAATTTCCTCATTAAAAGGCGAGTGTCTTGGTCACCAGGCTGTAGGATTTAGAGCAGTTCTCCATGCCTTTGGTGTAGGACTCTCACTGACCATCAGAGGTTGGAGATCCTTTGGTTAAGAAGGAAGGAGAAAGGAAGGTGGAACAGAAGGAAAGGAGCAGGGAGAGGAAGAGAGATTAGGAATACGCAGGTTCCTGCAAGAGTATCTTGCAGTGTTAGGGTACTTTGCCCAGAAGAGGGAAGGTTGAGAGTGTCATCCTTGCTGTTATTTTACATTAAACTGTTTGCACCTGATTAAATTAATAGTTGCCTTCAAAGAATTAAACTAAAGTATTGTGTATGTGAAAAATGGAATTTACATGTTTTGAGGGTTTGTCTCTAGCCACATAGTGTTCTACAAGAATTCGATCTTGACACAGCAAGCCAAAATCCAAAGTTATAAACTCTTGTGATTTTTTTTTTTAAGTGTCATGATTATTAACCAAATAAAAACTTTACCTTAGTTAAACTAAAAAATAATTGTTTGGAAGACTGTTACCCTAAACTGGTCTATCAATACTTGATTTCTGAAGGGATGCAAGACATCTTTCTCAGCTTCTTGCACCCTTTGGTGCAATTTACATAGTAGTTTTTAACAGATACTTTATTAAGTAGCTTCTTATTCTAAACAACTATAAGACATGTCGTGCTGTTATTTCAGCATCTCAAAAGTAAAATATTATTGAGTTGTGTCTTCACTTTTTGTTGGTGATACTATAGCTTGTTTAACAAACCCATGTGTCAAAGCAAAAGGTTCACAAGGAATGTAAGAAAGTGCATCTGCCATTTTACATTTACTTCTTTTAATTATATTCCATGGGTGCATGTGAAAATTAGAGGTTACCTTTGCCACTAGAATCTGGCAGTTGGCTCTCTGAAGTAATTGTTTTACACCTGGCAAATTGAGCTCTTCCTTAACATCAACAGGCCATGGTCGATAACACCATTTTTGTTTCCTGTTTCGTGTCCTACTTCAAACGTATGATAAGAAAAGTTTCTGAAAACCTGTTTAAAGGAGATGTCAATGTGTGAAGGAAATTATCAGAAAAATATCTCATTTTACTTAAGTGGTAGTTGCCAAACTTGGCAGGATATCTGGCAATTCAAAGATAAGAAATTGATGAATCCTAAATAGGAGATAATGTTTCTTGGATAAAGCTTGGAACACTGGCAAACATTCTTAAAAGCAAACAAACAAAAAGGAGAGAAATTAACTGGAAATTATTTGAAATTAATAGAAATAATTAAAATATTTTCAGTAGCAGTTTCTAATGCTATAGATGAAATAGTGGCAATTTTATGAATTGAAGTCTAAAATTAATTTAAAATTCAAATGTGCACATTTAAGAAGATCTTTGAGCAGTTGATTCACTTAAATACTAATTAACACAGTGGCAGGTTTGCTTTCAAGTAAATCTTAGAAGATAACACAATATGGAGTAGTTATTAGTGGTATCTAGAATTGTATTAAGAGAAGTCCAAATACCATTAGAAAGGACTCTCAGTTCCTGCAGCTTGTCAGCTCCTGTACATACAGTTGCCAACAAAATATGCCACCTGCTGGAGAAATACTTAAAAGCAGAAAACTTAATGCTTTTGTAGATGACATTTTACAGGATATGATGCAAATGGATTGATAAGAGGCATCTTGAATAAGAATTACCTATTTTTTGGTGAAATGTTTCCATTAATTTCAGAGTACCTAGATTACTTCTGAATCTTTCTCATTTGCTTTTTAAAAACATCATGGAAATACATTGATGTCTGATCAATTGTGGGTTTTGTTTGTTGTTTTTGTTTTGGTTTTTGTCCTGTGATAGACTCCAAGACTAACAAGGATACTTTAGGCAAGCTTCTGGGATATAACATTAATCAAAGTAATTTTTCATAGTTACATTCAAAGGTACAACCGTCTTTCTGTTAGTAAGTTTGTAAAGTCTAGAAGTTGTATAAGTAGAAAGACAGGATTCCTGGTTATAACAATATTGTCTTCTAATGAAGTTTGCATTTGACTTTCTGAACAGATTTAGTTTTCTGAATTGTTTATTTAAAACTATAGTAAAAGCCCTGTGCTAGAACTGACATTTATATAGTACACGTTGTATTGCCTCAAATCCTAGCTTTAATTTGCAATGGTGGGAGATGGTAGCTTTCCACTCTTCTTAATTCACACTTGGCATTTTTTTATGGTGTCCTCTATCCTAAAAATAGCAATTTGACCTTTTAGAAACTATTTCTGGATGACACCGTGATAATTACCTGAGCAGGGAACAATTTTTGGGGTTACGAGGAGAAAAGATTACTCGCTTGTCTTCAGTTTGATGACATAATGTTAATTCAGAGTGCCACAAACTTCTTAATTATAATACCATAGACAATATTATCAGCACTTAGTTATAGGCAGAAAATAGACTGTTAAACTTCAGTAGCTAAAACTCTCTGTTTTGCTCAGCATTTCTCCTTTTTGTTTGGTTTCATCTTTTGGAGGGCAGACTGAGGTTACTGTTTGCCACTAAGCAAATACCATGAGCGTACAGAAGGTAAATGGAAACCGAGTTAGTTTTCTGTTGTTGAAACTTTAAAATATTTTTGGTTTTGTGATTGCTAAATTGGAAGCTCACAGCTTTGCATATGAGAAAGCAATAAAAATGAGTAAAACATGCTAATAAAAATGTAATTTGTAAATGTTCCACAGGTAACCAGTTTGTATCTTGCAGGTTTTAGAGACCTACATGTTTCACTCTTTTCTTAAAGCTCGTCTAAACAGAAAGATGGATGCTTTTGCTCGACTTGAGTTGAGTACCCAGTCTGAAGAGGATAGGTAAAGTTTTTTCATTCCTTATTCTGGTTTTGAATATTCTGTTGATATCAGTGATAGAAGTCCTTTTGACTCTATTGGTATGAGATCAGATCATCTATGAATAAGATTATGAATAATTGATAGCCCATTTTATTAAGATTACTGTAAAAGGGTGATATGAACATGTCCAGCCTTGGCTGTTGAAATTGTAAATTGGTACTGTAATAGATTTTATTTTTTTTATAATAGTATTAAATTACAAGTGGTAATTTAGTGTGTATGTATGCTGGATTTTTAAACAAGTTATATATTATTTTTATTTTTCTCAGATTAAACTTCATGTTTCATACCCCGAGAAGAATGACTATGGAGAAAATGGCTTCTAAACGATTTAATCCACAGTACATGATTAGTAGGCGTATGGTAATCAGTATGCCTAATCTGCAAGATATCAAGCTGCCAGAGGGCCCTACTAGAAATTCCTCACTTCGAAGAATAGAAACAGGCATTGGTAAGGGAAGAATGTGTTGAACAAATACAATGTCTTTTCTGTTGTCTTTATGGGTGACATCACTGAATAATTTTCACAGAAACAGTGTCAGATGCTGGAAAGGAATGGCGAGCGAAGTCATTTTGAGCTGGGGCCCGTCTGTGCTTCTCCTTGCATGTTAAATCAGTCTGTAACCTGCTGTAAGTTTTGCTGTACCACAAAAGACCGATTGGTCACAATAAGATTGATATTGGAGAATTGCTTCTGGAGTCAGAAACCATGTTCAGTCCTCACCCACCTTATATCCAGTTCTCTACTATCTTTAAACTTAGGCTTATCACACAAAGCAAGTCCTACAGAAACTGCCTGTAGGGGTGTTTTTTCCCTTTTTTTTTTTTTTTTTTTTGTCTTTTCTTTGCCAGAATTGATATTATCAGATTAGGGAATATTCTGATAATAAGAGGATGGACATAGAAATATATTTACATTCCTAGTATAACTGTAATTTTACTTGAATTTCATGCAATATAATTGCTTCTTGTTGTGATGTGGATTTTGTTTTTTTGTTGTTTGTAGTATTGCTGGTTGTGAAGACACTCACATTTTTACTCACCGCTTATACTAATGAATGTATTGTTTGTTTGTTTGTTCATTTTTAGCTGTGAAAATGCCCTCCAAATCAGTCAGTACATTCAAAATCCCAGAAATTCACTTTCCTCTCATGTTCCAGTGTGTTCACTCCTACTATACAGACTTCTTCAACCATCTCAGCAAAGCTATAAATACCTTACCACCTGATAACTCAGCATTGCTGGCAAGGTACTTCTACCTCCGGGGACTTATTAGTTTGATGCAAGGGAAACTACTAAATGCACTTTCTGACTTTCAGAACCTAGATAAAACAGACTTAAGAATTTTCCCTACTGATCTTGTAAGAAAAATAGTGGAAACGATGCCTCCTGCTGAGCGTTCTCAAGCAGACCGCAAACCTGAGCTGAAGAAGCTGATAAGTCGAGTGATGGAAAAACAAAGAGAAGTTATGAAAATGGATGACCATGTAAAAAATTTTGAATTGCCAAAAACACACATGCAACTGGATGATTTTGTGAAGCGAATCCAGGAGTCTGGGATTGTCAAAGATATAGACACTATACATCGGTTATTTGATGCCCTAACAGTAGGTGAGTATAAGATACATTTTCAGTGACCATCTATATTGGTGCAATGACAATTTCAAGCCTTTTTTTTTTTTTCTTTTTTTTAATGAACCAAAATAAAATTTTTGTATCCAGTTATTTTTCTTTTTAATTATTGTTCAACATTTTCTGGGCCTCTAAAAACTAATATGTGAGCTTCGTGGACAATTTTATTTAATTAGGATAATTATGGAGGGTAGATTTAATGTATACAAGAATGTCTATACTTGTATCCACAATAAAGACAAGGATTCTACTTATACTTGGGCACAAAATTTATAATTTTTCAGGTTGTGTAGGTGGGGTGGTTTTGTGATCTGATGGTGTGCAATTCTACTTTGGCTTAGATTATGAATAAAGTGACTATAAGACTGTCCTAGTTGCTAATGGAAAATACCTCTGTGTTGTAAAGCCACTAGGTAACATGGCAAGGTGACATTCTGTTAAAAATAAACTAACAAAATCCAGAATGCAAGTAGCTACAGTTAAATTCCTCTTGGATGGTCATCATAGCAAAAGGAGAGGTTACATTTATATTTAAGAGAACTTTCTTCTCTCCTGAATGAGATCTGAATCTTGTGATTGATTTCTGAAAACATAGTTTGAGAGTGCTTTTATAAAACACTATTCAGTTCTCTTTCTGTGCCTAGTTACTCTGATAACTGCCACAAAGGATTAAACATCAGTCAAACCAGCAAGGCTAGAGCAAGACTTTCTGAAGCCAGAGGTAGCATACATCTTGCAAGAATTTGTGTTTGAGATTCTGTTGTCCAAACACTTGAATTCTTAGAGTAATTAATTACTTATAATAGTTAAAGTCTTCTGTAATAGGTATTCTAACTTTAGCTTTTATCCCAAGTTGGTAAGTGTGTGATATAGTAGCATTCAATAAAATAAAGAACTGGAAAGTCATAATGGAAAGTATGCAGTTCAGTAGGGAATTACAAATCCTTTCCCATTGGCTGACTGGATTTTTGGCAAGGCAAGACTGGAACAGCGTTTGCTCCCTCCGTAGAGTAGGGTGGAAGGGAGGATGCCAGATACATCAGACCTATGGCCTAGGCTAACTGCAGAGGAATCTTTCTACCTCAAGAATTTTGTCTCTTAACTGTTTCCAGGGCTATTTTTTGTAGTTTTTTGCACCTTGCTTACCTATTATGCTGTTAGCACAATTTGAAAGCTAGTATCTTTTAAAGCTGTCTTTTTGTGCAAATCTATGTAATCGTTTCTCACAGTAAACAAATTTAAAAAATTTTTTTTAGGACATCAGAAACAAATCGATCCTGAAACATTCAGAGATTTCTACAACTACTGGAAAGAAACTGAAGCAGAAGCTCAAGAGGTGAATCTGCCACCAACAGTAATAGAGCATCTAGATAAAAATGAATGTGTTTACAAGTTATCCTGCTCAGTTAAAACTAACTACGGTGTAGGAAAAATAGCCCTGACTCAAAAGCGCTTGTTCCTTTTGACTGAAGGAGGACATCCTGGCTATGTTCAGATTGCTGCTTTCAGGGATATAGAGGTGAGCATTACGTAACTTCTTGTTCTCTTGCATGCTTCTGGATGTAGGGCATGTTCCATTCTGCTAAGAGATCTGTCCCTCAACTTAGAGTTTCAGTAAGGAGGGTAGGAAGTCAGTAAGGTATGAGTGATTAGATAAAGTTCTGGGTCTTTGAACCAAGAATTTCAGAGCTGATACAGTACAGTTTGCTAGGTGCTAGGATGACATTGAATAAAAATCTAGAGGTCGTAACCTCTGGGCGTACAGAAAGGTGCAAATCATGGCACATGGGATACAGAGCTAGAGAAGTTTAGTAACATGAGCATTAAGTGTGCTTATTTGACTGTGGTGTCAGCGAGCCACCTTGTACCCACTGTGTAGCAAAGTCTGATGTTGTTTGAAACTTACGTTTTCATAAAACCATCTCTGCTTAATCATAGAATCTTTAAGTTTGGAAAAGACCTCTAAGATCATCAAGTCCAACTGTCAATGGTGTGTAAGGACATTAAAATCATTAGCTGCAGTTATAGAGAAAGTTGCCCTGTAGGATGAATACTGCACCTTATCTGTGATTGCATACTGTATTTTCCTTACTTTCTTTGTTTCCCTA